CCAGGGTGGCTAACAGGAGCAGCACTGCCTGAGCCCGGCTGGACTGGGAGCTCTTTTCTCAACTCCCTGCATTTGAAACCTCAACAGTCCTGCCACTTGGGCATGGCCAGGATCTTCTTTTTACATCTAAGGAAACTGAGGCTGGTAGAGGCCAAGGGAACTTGCGCAAGGTCATGGGGTCAGGCCCAGGCCCAGAGACAGTCCTTCGACTGAATATTGTAAGGCTCAAAAGAACGAATACAAGAGCTTCCGCGCGCCAGGCACCCAGTAATTGCTAGTTGCTATTATTACACTACTACGCTCCCTTCCACTACATTGTTCACTGGGACCCCACCGAGAACATTCTGGCTCCACATAAAGCCCCAGAGTGCACCCTTAGCTAGGAATTCTGACTCCTTCGGTGCTCTCTCTGGACTTGTTTTCTTTGTCTTTGTGTACAAACCAGCTGATGCCAATCTACTCAGAGGAATCAGTGCGCCCGATGGAAATGGGCATGTGGACATCCATTGGGAGATATTTGTAGTTTTTTGGCTGCTCAGGCAAGAAGGGAGGAAAACCCCAAATTAGGTGGGAGGCAAGACCCTGGAGGGTACGTCACAGCTCTAGCCATTAGGAAGCTCTTGGCCAGGGCTTTCATTCTTAAAGGAATGACACAGAGATGGGGGACAGCAGAGCTGGTTCCGGGCAGTGGCAGAGCCCCACAGGACATCCTGAGCAGACTCTTCCTGAAGAATGCTTTAGGACAGCTGTGCTGGGGTTGCCCACCTTTTCCTGGTTTTAAGCCCGGGTCTCCAGCGCTGATTCAATGGACATCTGCTTTCCTGCCTCAGTTATCGGAGTTGGCACGTGTGCTGTTTGGCAGCCAGGTTCACTCCCTACTCTGCAATGTTGGGCATCATTGGTTCTGGGGTATTTGGGTGACTGTGTGAATTTGACCAGAAGGTGTTCATATTGTTACAGCCACTGAGTTATGTACGTGGCTGGTAAGAAATATGACCAAATAAGACTAAAAGTCCTCTTTCAAGAACTACTAAATTTAGTGAGGAGGAAGTGACAAGGATACTCGTGTCATGGGTTCATTGGCAATGATTTTTCTTTCTTGGCAGAAAAGAAAACAACCATGCATCTTGCAGTTGGTGGTGTTTTACATTTGACACAATGGGGTACTGTTTGACCACTGAGAAGGCTGCTGTCAGTCTTTATTAAAATCCTGAAATTCGGAATGACAGCTAAAGGGTGCAGGGTTTCTTTTGAGGGTGATTAGAATTGACTATGGTGATGGTGGTGCAACTCTATTGACTAAAATGGACTATGGTGATGGTGGTGCAACTCTATGAATATCCTAAAAACCATTTAATTGTACACTTTCGGTGATGAAATTGTATGGTAAGTGAATTATATCTCAGTAAAGCTGTTATAATAGACATGGAAACACGTGATAAACAGGCAAGTGAACAAAGCAGGATGTCGACTGGAACACACATCATTGCATTTTTATTATATATGATCACACATTTGTGCCATGGAAATATACACTGTTTTACAGTGATTCGGATTTTTAAATAACTGAATGGTTCCCATGTTTTGAACAGTGAGCTTATATGACACCTAGTCAGGAAAAGAAATACATGTTACCATTCCTTTTCTCCCCTTTTCCAGTGTGTTAAAAATTCTTACAAAATAAAATTTCCCTTTTTTGTCATTTGTATGTGTATAATCCGGCATTAAGTACATGTCACTGTTGTGTAACCATGACCACTATGTTGTCCCAGAACTTTTTTTTTTTAATCCTCACTTAAGGATATTCTTTCCATTGCTTTTTCAGAGAGATGGGAAGGAGGGGAGAGAGAGAGAAACAAACATCGGTGTGAGAGAGGCACATCGACTGGTTACCTCCTGCTCTCACGCCAGCTGGGGCCCGGGGATGGAGCCTGCAGCCAAGGTACATGCCCTTGGCTGGATTTGAACTGGGACCCTTCAGTCCGCAGGCCGACGCTCTAACCACTGAGCAAACTGGCTAGGGTGTCCCAGAACTTCTTCATCCCCCCATATGGAAACCCACAAAGCAATCACTCCCCATCCTTTTCTTCCCTGGCCCCTGGCAACCATGAGTCTACTTTGCTGCCTCTCTGGTTTTGCCTAGACCGGATATAGGAATCATGCAAAACGAGGGCTTTTGTGTCTGGCATGGTTCCTTTTTTAAAATGTTTTATTTTAAATATGTTTTTATTGATTTCAAAGAAAGGAAGGGAGAGGGAGAGAGAGAAACATCAATGATGAGAGAATCGTCATCAATCGGCTGCCTCCTGCTCGCCCCCTGCTGGGGGTCGAGCCCACAACCGGGGCATGTGCCCCGACCAGGAATGGAGCTGTGACCTCTTGGATCCTAGGTTGATGCTCAACCCCTGAGCCATGCCGGCTGGGCATGTTGGGGTTTTGAAACCGAAGTCAGCTGCAGCCTCGATTCAAAGGAGACCACAGCTGGGCTGCCTGGGAAGATGCTTTATGTAAGAAAGAGCAAAAAATAGTTGCTCCCTCCCGGGGCCTGTGCCACAGTGCGGTTTTGGTGTCAGCTATTATCCAGACGCTCTCAACCTACATCTAAGCATGAGACACCATCACGGGACACTAATGGATTTTCTATTAAATGTCAGGTTCTTCAAGGAGGAAAAACTGGGACAGGGAGAGTGTGGCAAGAACCTGCGAGCCAATTGTTGAAAACCGATGGGGGGCTCCACAGACACCCTTGATCTTCCTGAGGCAGTCTTTTTTGGGATTTGTTCTCAGCTTTCAGAGGAGCTTGGTGAGCTCTAACCAGAATCCACTTCTTCCTATGCCCTTTGCCAGAAAACACACTGCAGCTGGCCTGGGCAGCCAGTCGGACTCCACGCTCTGCTGGTGACCACACAGGCCCTTCCTCCTGGTTGAGTCTGCCTGTCCACCCTGCCCTTCTGGGGGCTCTAATTATGCCCCTTTCTGACTGTCCAGGGATTGGCTGGAGTCTGGGACAGGCCTTTGGTTCTATAGCTGGCCATCTGGGATGATAGCAGACATTACTCATTGCTACAGTTTGAATGCGTCTGCCCGCCAAAATTCATATGTTGAGCCCGGCTGGCGTGGTTCAGCAGTTGAGCATCGACCTGGTGTCCAGGAGATTGGTCAGATTTCTGGTCAGGGCACATGCCCGGGTTGTGGGCTTGATCCCCAGCAGGGGCCATGCAGGAGGCAGCCGATCAATGATGATTCTCTCATCATTGAGGTTTTTCTCTCTCTCCTCCTTCCTTCCTCTCTCTGAAGTCAATAAAGATATATTAAAAAAAAAAAGTCATATGTTGAACCCTGGCTGATGTGGCTCAGTTGGTTGGGTGTTGTCCTGTGCACTGAAAGGTTGCCGGTTTGATTCCCTGTCAGGGCACATGCCTGGGTTTTGTGTTCCACCCCCAGGAGGGGGCATGCAGGAGGCAGCCAATAGATGTTTCCCTCTCACATTGATGTTTCTCTCTCTTGCTCCCTCTCCCTTCCTCTGTCTCTAAAATCAATTAAAAAATCATTAAAAATTTTTTATATGTTGAAAACCTAATGTCTAATGTGATAGTATTAGGAAGTGGGGCCTTTGGGAGGAGATTAGGTCCTGAGGATGGGGCCTTCGTGAATGGGATTAGTGCACTTATGAAAGAGACCCCAGAGAGCTCCCTAGTGCCTTCCATCACATGAGGACACCACGTGAAGTCTGCAGCCCAGAAGAGGGAACTCGCTCCACCATACTGGCACCCTGATCTCAGACTTCCCATCCTCCAGAACTGTGGGAAATAAATTCCTGTTGTTTATAAGCCACCTGGTCTTTGGTATTTTGTTATAGCAGCCCGAGTGAACTAAGACACTGTGTTAGTCATACAGGCAATAGGAAGCACTGCTACACACCTGTGGATGAAAGTCTCAGATATAACGTTTAGCACAAGAAGCCCAACACCAAAGGGTACCTATTGCATAACTCCATTTATATGAAGTTCACTGATACAAAATCACCTATAAGGATGGAGTCAGAATGGCAGCTACCTCTTGACAGGGTGGAGAGACAAGGAGAGGGGTGCATAGGAATCTTCTGGGGTGAGGGAATCATGCTATATTCTATTTTTTAATTTTAATTTTAATTTTTTTTAGAGAGGGAGGACGAGTGAGAGTGAGACAGAAACACTGATGAAAGAGAAACATCAGCATGGACCAGCTGCCCCCTGCACGGCCCCAACTGGGGATCAAGCCCACAACCCG